AATTGTTTTAGGTATACTCGCTATTCGGCTTGTCCCGGAATAACACGAGTTGGTCACGAATGTCACCATAGGTTGAACACAAGGGAAGCTGGGCCAGACAAACTAGTGGCTGACATTATGAGCTCCATTTCACGTCGTCGGGGTTCGGTGACACCACATGGGGCTTGTAACGCAAATTTGATAATACGGATAATCCTTTTATGTAGTACTATGACGCCGTTAGTGACCGTATATATCTTGCTGCTAACTTTTGCGTTACAAGCCCCTGTGGGTGACACGCAATCAACCAGGCCATCGAGTCTGACCATCAGGTCCAATTTGGTTGCCATGTGCGCCAGGCATAGGTTGCTGGGGATGTATTCTAATTCCGGGTCTCACGTATGGGGTTAACATAATAATAGAGAGTGAGTTTAAATTCAACGCCGCATCGGCATTGTATTGTGACGAGAACTAGTTGATATATACACAAGTGTCATGAATACAAATTTTGTTTAAAGACAAATTTGCAGACATATTTGGGCATAGAAATATTATTTACAACTGTTTAAAACGCGGGCTATATGAGAGAGTGAGAGAGAGAGCGAGAGAGAGAGAGAGAAAGAGAGAGAGAGAGAGAGAGAGAGAGAGACCATGTTAACCTGTGCAATATTATTATTGTTTGCTTTGTACTTCACAGCTAAATGTCGCAGACAACAAGAGACAACAACAAAGCAGATTACAAGGGCGGAGTTTTACTTACTGGTACGTGTTGATTCCCTAACTGAAACGACTGCCTCCGTGGCCTAGTGGTAGAACGTCCGCCCGGAGAGCGGAAGGTCTAGGGTTCCATACCCGGCCGCGTCATACCAAAAGACGTTAAAAGATAGTACTTGTTGTTACCCTGTCTGGCGCTCGGCATTAAGGGGCTAAAACAAGGACTGGTCGGCTCGGAGTCAGTATATTGTGTCTGAGTAGGGTATTCATGTTAAACTGCGGCATGGTATCTCAGTGAGCTAGCACTATAAATCGGCATCAGTCCGGTCTAGTACAAGCAGCCACACACACACACACACACACACACACACACACACACACACGTGCATGCACGTCGCTATATAAGTGCAATAATCTTGGACGCGACGTTAAACCCCATTTCACCTCACCTAACTGAAACGTGAACGTTAACCGAGATAGTTGTGAAATCAGTACATAACCACGCAAGATCAATGGACGATCAACAAGTTACACATGTTACACAATGGGCCAAATATATGATACAATGATGAACTCATTAATTGGCTCTATTTCAAAAGTCAATGCACGCACGAATGAATATCTTGTATGAGGCACGACCTCCGTTCTTGAATCGAGGAATCATCAGTGGTCACAAAAATGTGCGGGGACACATGACGCTAAGTCGTCTAAGGCCAACGAATGGTAAGTTGCGTCCCTTGGGCACGTCATGATTTTGGGTTCGAATCCCGGTTTGCCTCGATTGTGTTTCTAGGTCAGCACCATACTCACTCACTCCCTCACAAAAATGTAACGCGAACACATGCGCAGTGTTGGAAACATTGCTCTTATATATACTGATAAATAATTTAATTTAAGCTTTCTGTCAGTTCATTTGAAATAACGCGCATACAAATTCAACACATCTCAGAATCAAATGTTGAGATGTGTTTGAGTGCTTTCCAACCCGAAGTTGGCGGACAAGGCTAGTAACCCATGATAGCATATCATTTTACTGTCTCTAAAACTTAGTGTTCCCTTATTCATTTCAAACAATAGATCTATATATACAGCCACCCGTCATGAAAATACTGCCTCGAACCGTCTTGAATAATATCTCACATCAGAGTTCTCCATACCGGGAAGGTAACCAAGATGTTAAGCGCTGGGGCGGAGTTTGAATAACCTAAAGGGAAATCACTCTATATCAAAGTGCCTACCAAAGTCAATTTTATTCGAGCGCTGATTTTTAACTTACTATAGAATGAAATTACAAAATACAATTCCACATTAAACAATTATATAGTGTGACAACAATGTGTCAGGTCAGCACATGCTAGTAGCAGTGGTGCGCTGGGCTAAGAGTGAGCCTCAATTACATCTCTCTATAACTCTGAACCAACGCTTATATAGTCAAAGTCTCAATACCAGGATTAAATCATAAACATAAACACGCCTAAAAACACAATAACATTTGCCAAGTATGTTCTTGGTGGCTGAGACTAAAGATAGAAGACAATGCAAATACAGATTAACAAAGCAAGTTCATATAGGGATTAGCGTCTAGCCGTATTGGCCATTAGGAGATTGAAGAGTCAGCATTAACATCATTACATGGCATGGCAATAACGTAATATAACTTTTACAAATAGGTGCTATGTACATAAGACAAAGTTAACTGAATTGGGTTGGTTGGTTTGTAGTTTAACGCCGCACTCAGCAATATTCCAGCTATATATGACGGCGGTCTGTAAATAATCGAGTCTGGACCAGACAATCCAGTGATTGATATCATGAGCATTAACTGAATTGGGTACCATGTTAATATTACAAGGGTGGGGTGTGGGGTGGTCGCGGGTTGATATGGCAAACTGCCTTACAATAACCTTTTTATCATAAAACATAACATAAAATTGTAAAATGCATCCATTTTCACCTTTCTTTTGGAAGACATTGTCACGGGAAAGCAAGTCGAGAGGACGAGCAGACGACGCAATAAGGGACGTAACTCCAATGTTTTACCACGCGGGCTGATATCGTTCGCCCAATCAAAATGCATTGACAAAGCCGTATCAACCACGAAGCGGGCCGAATAAGGATCTGGTTATGCCCGTATGTGTTGGCTCTATCGCACATGCAAAATAGGTATGTGACACAGACTGATACAGGCAATGCAGAAAGTAGGGTACAAGTCAGACACACCTCTGAAAGTTTGGGCGCAATTATTCCTTATCTCTTGGCTCACAAGGCCAGTCAGCTCTTATGCAGACATCGTCTAGCTAATCATATCACTATATTCATTTAACGAGTAATGATAATGCTGAATACGGATATTTTTATGAGGAAGCCCAAACAATATATTCTCGTTAGCGCCTTGGTACACGAGTTTACCAGGTAAAGAAGCTAATCATGGCGTTAGTAGCAGGCTAGAGTGATGCTGAATATGAGATATATGTTTATAAATAGGATTTGGTTGCATCACATTGACCTGAATCAAATGACATGTCACTCTGAATGCCATGCAGCTATTCTTCACTCGCACTTGATGACGAAAAAGGAAGACATTACCCGGTTTTGTTTAGAGATAATGAGTGCAATGATATGAAAACAACTCAACAAAATACATCAACTCTAGGTCTGGCATGAAAATGGAAAGCTCTAAGGAGCACGGTCATGTAATCATATATTGTAATTATGGACCCAGCCCAACAAGCAGGATAAAGCCATATGCAATTTAACAAAACAAATAGATAACATTTCAAAATGACAATGTTTAGCGGAAGCAAATATTTTTATATTAATACACTGTCATATCTTCATACATGTTACTGCGTGTCGATGAATATATTGATAAAACATGTGATAAATGTACTGCGAAATGTACTTCAAGCGCAATAATATGTTTGGATTTTATCGTTTTAAAATCGGAAGTCTTTTTTAATTTGTTTAATCGCTACATGATCAATTTGGAGTCAGAACCATCAATATGTCTGGTCTGTTGATCGGGGTTGTGTCTCGTCATGAAGTCACGATACATCCCTGTATGCATTCTTTCTCTGATACGATTTATTGCCAAAGTGTTGTATGACGATACATACGTGTTAGGAATAAGTGACAGGTTAATCGAACCCTAGCCTTCGGTGAGTGAGTGAGTGAGTGAGTGAGTGAGTGAGTGAGTTATTATAGTTTTACGCCACTTTTATCAATTTTCCAGCAATATCGCGGCGGGGGACACCAAGGCTTCACACATTGTACCCATGTCAGGAATCGAACCCGGTCCTTGGCGTGACGAGCCAACGCTTTAACCACTGGGCCCACTATCCCTCCATTGAGTGAGTGAGTAAATATTTGTCACGCCATTGCAAGCACCATCCAAACAATATCACGCTAGTCTGTTAATAATGTTGGCCAGCAGAAATCAGTGATTGACGGCATCAGCAACGATCTAGGGCACCAGAACACTGTTGTTTTAAACCGCAGTCAACAATATTCCAGTCATAAAACGGTTGCCTCTAAATAACCGATTCTGGACCAGGCAAAACAGTGGTTGATAGCATGATCAACTTCTTGGTAACTGATACCCACAAAAGTCAGGTTCACCATTTTAATCTGCTCTAACCACAATCACTAACAACAGTGTCAGGTCACACACTATAACTACCCGATACCCATTTGTCTACGACAAAGATGGGAATCTTTTATTCCCGGAAGCCCCAAATGTCGCTGTAACTGATTTAGGAGGTTTGGATTTAAACCTGGGGCATTTAATAATTCTAAAGGACCAACCCCTGTAAAGGAAAAACACAAATGAAACAATAATAAAAAGACTAAAATATTTCGGCTCCTTGTTTGCCTTGAAGCAATGGGTGAGTGAGTAAGTTGGGTTTAACGCCGCTTTTAGAATATTCCAGTTATATCACGGCGTTTCAGCTTAATGTGGGACGAAGCCCAGAGTGATGCAGGACTCAGACGTTTACCACTTTGGTGAAACCCACGGTACTGACAAACCAAGAAACATGATTAGGGTGAAGCGGGATTAAAACCAACGATCATAGGTTTTTGGGGCCCCGTAGGGACAAAAGCCTGCACGACGAATTGCTGCGCCTCAGACGACTGGGCCACCCCCAGTGAGCGTGTTATGCCCTCTTCTTCGAGAGGCAAAATAAATAAAAACCCAGTCAAAGTATTACAAAACAGTCAATGACGTATCTTGTCATCAACGAGTGAGTTGCTTGGGTCTGTTTTGTAACGATATTTTCTCATTTTGAACAACAGAACAAGTCATCCAAGTGGTTGCAAACATTTATTCCCATCTGAACAATTCTGCAAAAATCAAAAACTGTTCTCACTCTGCACAATGACTCAGAGCACAGTACATGCATATTTGAACGAATAATTCTGAAATGGACCTTGTATAGTTACAGTTATATTGAGATATCACGGGGTCACCGGGGCTATTCAAATATACCGTAATACTCTGAAGTGGGAACAGTGCCTGTCGTGTGAAAGGTTGCTATTGTACTTTTGATATCCCCAGCCGTCCAATTACAAATTAAGCGTTTCAGCATGTCCGTGAAATATGCAGACCCTGCTCAACCAATCCAATTTTACATGGATTCAACTGAACTGTGTTGTCTATCCCACCTGTACATGTATAAGACGTGCTATTAATCATTCATCAAGGGCAATACTGTAATGGAAGCCTGAACCGTAGAGAGGAAATCCGACACAGTGATTGTGTGTTCTCGTTCGAATGTTTCAGATTTCAGAAGCGAATTTGCACTGTCAGTTTACAAATGCATCTGCTACATCCGCTTCGAGGCATGCCTTCCTACAGTACTGTACATATGCCCCTGTATGTGCAATTGTGGGAACAATTCGCATGTGCTCAATTAAGTACGGGCCATTGACGTAAATCTTAATGTATATTTTTGCACCCGTTACATGATGACCTTCAAGACGCATCTCCTAAAAGCAACAAACATCGAAATGTGGTTACTCTGACCAGCAACCGATCACAATCCCTTGGCTAACATCTTTAGTGTGAAATTGGCTTGATGTCGGCAGTTTAGATTGAATTTCATGACAAAACTTCCAATTACCCAACCCCGCAATGTTTGTTCAGCTTTCACGCAACGAGTGATAAATTTAATTGAAATGTTGGTAGACAAAATTGTAAAACTTTGTAAAAATGATTTCTGAATGGAACGAGTCTCTGCAGCATGTGTACTGCGGGTATACTGAGTAGGTTTTGCTCTTTCTCCTTTTAATGAACTGGTTTCCTTTTCTGTAATTTTAGTTTCGTTTTAACAAACTGTAATAGTTGTAACTTAAATATGTCCTTGAGTCACATTCTTTCCACAAGAACTAGCTGGGTATTTCGCTCTTGGCTCTTTGTGACCTTGCCTTTAATGAATGTGGAACCTCATTGGTGTGATACTCGGCATACTGGGTAGGGGTTGCTTGTCCTCCGTTTGTGCAGATAGTGATTATTACATGTTGATACCTTGCTTTTAATCTTATTTTTTGCAGCAAAAACAGTTTATGAATTAACATTAAATGTGTCCCAAATCTTTTCACAGGAACTAGCTGGGTATTCCGCTGTTTGCTGTTTGTAACTTTGACATCAATGAATATGGAACCTCACTGGTGTGAAATAGTGACAGATTTGTGAGTGCCAATGGATTTCAGACACTGAATGATCACTGGCAAAAAGGCGACACTCACACCCATACTGCCGAATATCAGGAAAGGCAGATCATACGACCCAGTCAAGTCATACAGTTTCCCTGTAATTGAAGAAGAAACATACGTTACCAAATATGATTACCACAAACCGAAAACCGGTAAACAACAAATTAGCTTCAGTTGCCAAGGCCATATGCTTGAGAAATAAAGTTTGATCTACCCCACATGTGTTGTGTAATATAGAACAGTTTTGCCCTGTACTAATATAGTTAAAGCACGAGGACCCTTGCCTCCGACTGCTTGACGTTATTATAGTTCTTGCATAACACATGGGTTAGAGACTAACGCTACATTTTAGAGGGGTTTAAAAAGAAACATGTAATACGCAGTGCCGTAAACTCTCGAATATAGGGCTAACTAAAGGGCACTTCCACCTAATTGTCTGCATCGTTCTTACCTTAAGGGAAAGTACATTTTGAACATAATAAAACACAACTGAAATTGGTAGTTCATAGTTTATCTCAGTCACATTTTATTATCCGTTTAGTGTGTCATTGTTCATAATCTCAAGCAGCAAAAAGAAGGATTTATATTTATGTTATAATGTAATAATTATATACTCTTCAAAAAACGAAACTTGACATAGATGTTAAACCACTTTCTGCCAAATATCTAAAATAATTACGTTAAATGAGAACCAAATAAGTCAAACAGAAAGATGATTGTTCTATAATTCGCGAAAACACATGCAAAGCACATAAACGTAGCGTTTGGGGATCAATTTTACAGCTTCATCCAAACGCAACCGCCTGTAAAAAACGTGCAGCACAGGATCCTGCATTTAGGCTTACAGGCCCCCCTGCTGAATGGGTATAAAAATCCGCATCAACGGCTGTTCATACAGTCCTTATAACGGTAGTAGAGGCGGTGACAGAATGCCAAGACTGAATGCAGCTCAACGAAACAACGCCATTGGGAGATTACAAGCTGGAGCAACTCAGCAAGAAGTTGCCAGGCACTTTGGCGTATCCAGACAGACGATCTCCTCACTGTGGACCCATTACAACAACACCAACAGAGTTGACGACAGACCAAGGTCAGGAAGACCAAGGATGACAACCCAAGCACAAGATCGATACATCCGGCTGCGACACCTCCGAGACCGCACTGCCACAACCACGTCTACAACCACACAGATCCCTGGGGTACGCAGAATATCAGATCAAACGGTACGCAACAGACTGAGGGAGGCTGGACTTTTTGCACGAAGACCTGTTCGACGTCATGTATTGACCCCACGTCATCTGGCGGACCGTCTGCTTTGGTGCCAACAGAGGGTTAGATGGGCACGTGCAAGGTGGAGAAATGTACTGTTTACTGACGAGTCCCGTTTCCTACTCACACGTGCTGATGGGCGCGCACGTGTCTACAGACGTCGGGGTGAACGTTACGCCCCCAACTGTGTGCAGCAGGTTGTCCCATTTGGCGGCGGGAGTTTCATGGTATGGGCCGGAATTCATCATGGTGGTAGGACGCCTCTCGTGCAGGTGTGCGTTACAGAGACTTGCTCCTACAGCCTTACGTTCTTCCTCACGTCAACGTTCATGGCGGACAGTTCCAGCAGGACAACGCTCGACCGCATATTGCACGTGTTTGTCAGGACTTCTTACATCACAACAACATCCAGACATTACCTTGGCCAGCCCGGTCACCAGATTTGTCCCCGATTGAGCATCTGTGGGACGAGTTGGATAGACGCGTTCGCAGAAGGAATCCACCGCCCCAAACACTTCCGGCGCTTCTTGATGCACTTCAACATGAATGGCAGCACATCCAACAGCGTGTTATTGACAACTTGATTGCATCTATGGGTCGTCGGTGTCAAGCGGTGATTGATGCACGTGGTGGGCACAACCGATACTGACATTTTCTGTGCCCTTTGACATTAACTGTATCGTGTACGTGTGTCTGTCTAGGTGACACGATTAATGTTTTGAACATTGTGTACATTGATCTTCAAACAGTGTTTCAATTATGGTTTCTGTGTCCTATTTTGAAACAATCGCATTATATTACATTTTGAAAGTCAGTGTCAAGTTTCTTTTTTTTTAAGAGTATATAATATTTGTTTCAGTTTAATGACTCAAAAGATTCCCCAAGTGAATTGTGGTGCTGAGGTGATGTGTTTTCTGTTATAAAAGGTGGATGTTTGACATCATTTTTGCCATACATTTTCCCAGGTAATACCATTCAATTACACAAATCAATATTTGCTGTGGATGTGCCATTTTGACAGTGATGAAAGAACAATTTTACCATGGATACGTGAGTTCACAGGGTCGGGATTTTTTCTGAAAATATACTTTGGTTTACTGAAATAACTTACATATGCCTCGTACTGTAGGAAAAAAATAATGTACATTTTTCTTGCAGACAGTGTGTATTTAGATATTGAGAAGTCGGACACCTCTAAACCAGATGCTTCGGACTCCTCAAAACCAGATGCTTCGGACACCTCAAAACCAGATGCTTCGGACAAATGATCTCGTCAGCCATGGCTGGTTGCTCTTCTAGGTGAAGGTAAACCTTCATTCCAAACCACTGCTGCCTTGTGGCTGTACCAATCCATGGGAATAGCTGAGCGAAATCCAGAGTAAGAGGCCCTAAGGCAGTATGCCTTTATATTCAAAACCCCTCAGTCACCTCTTGCCCTGTCGCTGATACCAAACAGTATTGGATTTTGCCTTACTATGAGAGAATCCAGTATAAAGTGATGCTGATTGTGTTCAATGCGAGACACAATCAAAAACCAACTTATATCATCGAGCTTCTTGAAGAGTACGTGCCTGGGAGATCTCTCAGATCAAGCTGCCAGTCCCTACTCTCTGTGCCCAGTGTTAGAACGGCGACTTTTGGAGGTCGGAGTTTCGCCAAAGTTGCCCCTGAGCTATGGAATAGGCTGCCATTGGATATCAGGAACATTGACAGTCCTACTTTGTTCCGATCAAGACTCAAAAATCATTTCACAAAATCTTTCTTAGAGTATTGAGGCTTTGTGTTTTCCTAGCTGTGTAATGTCTCTTCTTTGTGTAGACTCAAATGAAGCGCGTTTGAGCAGTTCTTCGAACTGGATACCAGCGCTATATAAATCTGTAGTTATTATTTTTACCACCCTTGTATCTATCAGTGAGACGTGGAGAGGCGGGAACTCATGCAGGTGCTTTAGTTGGCACTCCAGATCAAGCTGCCTAGGACAGAGGTAACTCCAGCATCACCTCACAGTGACAGGACAACCGGGGAAGCAGGAGTCTACCAGTGGAAAGCTTAGCTTGACTGGCATAGAATGTAGCATCAGAAGTTGCTTCAGATGGTGGGAAGGATCAATGCATTGTGCTCTGACCAGCCTTGCATGCAGACTGTAAACTTTGCCCCAGATAAGACAAGCAAAGAAGAAAGAAAGAAACTCAAGAAGAGTTTTGATGCTGGAATGTCTGCACCCTGACGACCTGACCGTCAGCCGACCTCTGGGAGATGAATGATGTACGCATGACTGCTGTTATCAACAATGTGAACTCGGAAGACTGCAAGTGGATATCACCATGCTACATGGTTGTTGTCGACAAATTCTGCATCTTCAGCTCATTGCTGCATGGAAGTGAGTCTTGAAACGTCTCTTCTAGACAAGAACAGAAACTCAACGCCTTCCATACGCGCAGTCTGAGCGCATCCTCAGAATTAGCTGGAATGACCTTCACCAACAGCACCGACTTCACTGCCTCGACCATGTCCGTCACATTGCGGACAGAACAACACTGAATCGTGTCCTGTTAACAAGTTCGCCTTAAAATACATCTGCAAACAGCACTTGAGGTCACTGGACTACGAGAGGTGAGAGGAACTTGCTAACAAACAAAGGCATGCTTGTTTAAAGAATAAAGTTCAATTGCTATGTGTTGAAAATAATGGATTGAAAATAATGGAGCTCCTAAACATTAAAAATCAGAAAATCAAATGGTCGTCTATTACCCATTAGTATCCCCAGCGTTGTGTTTGAGGCTCCAGTGACTGCCCCGCCTAATCCCATGGACACAGCATACATGTCTTCCCCCACCACTTGGAAGACAACTGCAAGGAAACATTTGGGTTAGATTAGTATAGGCTTAATCAGAAGTAGACTTTCTAGCTTCCCGTGTCACATTAGATCCTAATACAATGTGCGTTTAATATTTGTGCAAATTAAATAGAACAGGTCACAACCTCCACCTGCGGACATCAACATTGAAATAACATCCTTGGTCTAGAGGATAGAGTGTCTGACTTGAGAGCGGAAGGTCGGTGGTTCGATTCTTGTCTGGTCATACCCAAATATGTTGAAAGATGGTACTTGTTGCTACCCTGCATGGCACTCAGCATTATGAGGATATATTGGCTTGCACTATAAACCCCGCATCTTTATAACTCACCAATAGCAAAGGTGGACACCATCCCGCCTGCAGCCAATCCGTAAACTGAGAAGCAGGCCATTATCATGCCATAGGAATCCGCCCACGATATCACTATCAGAGCGGTACTGGACACCAACACTGATGTACAGAACACATGGTAGGTCTTCACTCCTGGGATCATCTGTATGAAACCCGCCATAAGACGCATTCCAGTGCTTGTCCCATTTATTAACAGCATAATCATTATTCCCGTTTCTGCAGACAGACCCTTTGAGACACCAAAGTCAACTGCAGTCAAGACAGTCGCTGTGATGGAACCAAATCCTATTAAGCCACACAACAAGTAAGCACCATATAAGGGATTCAACAGTCGACGAAATTTAGATGTGGCCTCGATATTTGTATTGTTTTTCAACCGAGATGTAGGCGATACACCAAGTGATGACGTAACTAGGAGACCTGATAGAGCAACATTTAGGTAAATACCGCTCATTATAAGCAGTGCTCCTCTCCAGCCAAACTCCCGCTTGAGTTCCTGCAAGATGGTGGGGAAGATCATGGACCCAAGACCACCTGATGACGTCATTAATGCTAATGCAAAGGCCTTGGCCCTAGGGTCACGGAACGCCAAGGTAACGTTGACATTGTTTGCCAGATACACCATGCTACAACCACAACCTGAAAATCAAAACAACAAATCAGCTAATGTAATGGCCATTTGTTAATAGAGAACATAAACTTCATGAAGGGAGGAACACAATGTATGAATGCGACACCCTTGATTATCCAGCATTTCTAATCGCCATTCTGTTATGACACACATCCTGGATCAATTCGCCACCCTCCTTTCACGATGCTAAAAAAGCAATCCAATCAAAATACACTTTTTAATGATTGAAACCAGGTAATTACCATATGCTGTATGAAATACAACCAGAACGTCTCACAGCAAGAGGACTTCCCGCCCACCTTAATCATCACGAAAACGTCTTGCTCAGGTTAAAGTTCAATTTAAATAAAGTGTCTTCTAATTCGACTTAACTATAGCGATTGCTCCATCATAAGAGAACTCTCATTCAGAAGAGACATTTTGGTTGGTTGTTTAGGTCACTCTCAAGCGCGAAAGAAATTCTGTGCCATTAAGAGTAATGGAGATGGTGACGTCCCCAAAAGATGCAATGATTAAGATGCGTATCACTTCACTCTGGTTGCAAACATTTTAGTAAGCTGTCAAGATGTATATATAGGATGGTATTTGCTGGTAACAGCTACACTCTTTGCAATTATTAATACACGACTCACCCATTACCACGCCTATAGATACAAGGGTGAAGGTGTAGCTTGTTGCAAACCAGCTCGCAAACAGTCCAAGGGAAGACACCATGCTACCTGAACACAACACAGCTCGGATACCAAACCTCTGGATAAGGAAGCCATTCACAAGTCCTAGAAGAGAAAGATAAATTCACACTAGGTCAATCTCTGATAACTTAAGTAGGGCAGGAAAAGTATGGTAAAAGAATATCATGAAAAGGCACGAATATACACTTGCTTGTTTGTGACATAGGCTTAATAAGTTATAATATAATTGTTATGGTAATATATTTTGAAGAGGTGTTGACGCTCGAAGACTTAATAATAATTCTTAATATTTTCCGATTAATTGATCTAAAATATGAAAATAAACCTGCCTCCCATGAATGTCAATCCAGTGGACGTTGATTGGATAGATGCGGTTGCAGCACGTGTGGTTTGAAAATCCTCTAACCAATCAACAAAGAGGGCCCCAAGTGAAAAAGGAAATCCCAAACCAAGGAAAACATTGAAACACCCACCAAGCAGGGTGACTATTTGCCGAAGTAACTGCTTGGATCCTTCCTTTTTGTCTATCTGCGATTCATACCTGATACATAAATAAAACCATTCTTTACATGTTAATATGGATTTTGTATTGTAAACACAAGCTTTTCTCACTTTAGCGTGACTAATATCTAGGAATGAATATCAATATATTTTTCATATTTTTTAGTTCATTAAAAGGTATGTAACTATACAAACATCAATTCTGAAACATGCATACCTGATATATGTGCCTTCAGAGCCATGTTGCACACAGCCATCATCTATGATGAACACCTGAGGCTCTATCGCTGGCACATCCGGGACATATGCTACATTGGCATACCCTGAAACAAAGGGTTTGGCCTTTGGTGGTTCTTTGTCCACTTCTTTTGTGATGTTTGTACTGATGCAGATATGTTCTTCTGACAGCGGGGCAACTTGAGTTGAAGGTCTACAAGGAAGATAGTCATAAACTAACGGACGTGAATAATTACTCTGTGAATTCTGCAGCCCCAGCCCCTGGTGTGCTTCTGAATGAACGTCTTGTTGCACATTAGAGGACTTTTGTACTTTAATATCGACCGCACCACGGTCATTGTTTGTATTGCCTTGTGTCTCATGGGTATTCTCAAAAAATGCTGAACAGGTAGACTAAAATCTAGTCTCTGAAATGAACATATCGTACATAAAAAACAGTTGTTCAGTTATCTTAATAAAAATATAATAAAAAAGGGCCCAGTGACTCTCTTCATTTTCAGATACTGCAGTGATCTAGACTTGCCAAACATTATAGACTTGCATGGGCTGTATTTGATATATATTTGTATCAGGGTCTGTAAGACAGACTACTGAACAGGTTCCATGTTCAATAGCAACTGTATTGGCCTTGCTAATGTTGTATTCTGGGGTTTCATTGGTTTCATAAGGATGGCATTGTCCGTAATTTAACTTTGGACTGTGGTTTATTATGATGTCCCTCAATGCAATAACTTTTGTTTCAGTGCGTAAGATTTCACAAGAAGCGTGTACAGAAGATGCCTCTGGATGATTCTGACTGCAACAGATAAAAGTTCAATTAAGCTGGTGCACCAACGCGAATCTATTTTCTCTAAAAAAAAGTAGATCATCATAAAATAGAAATGTTACAATCGGTCATCAGTAGAAAGATCAGCTTTGAAAAATGACTGCCAGAGATAGACCGGATTCGCAACGCCCGTTGATCAGGCAGTTCGTCAGTGCCGACTTTGGATAGGTTTCTGCAGACACAAAATGAGAATGATCATCCCACACAGTCCAGGATCGATTAATCAGTAACCATAATTTACGAAAATGACCCCAAAGAGTTCATTGTTCACTTGCACCAGTCCACCAGAGTTACTGACCAGGTGATTACAAATCATCTTCTTGCTCAGGAACTACGTGTTGATCAACCGTTAACAAACTGAAGCATTCTTCAATGTCAATCCTAGGGTCACTAAACAGTATTACCGAGGCAACGTACTGGCGTCGTCAGTCGTGCCATTTGCGTGTCATGCTAATCCGTTTTTGTCTTCTGGAATCACCTGTTATTTTTGACATCCCTTTTTATTTTGGCGAATATAGTTTTGATATTTGATAACTAGTGTCTCAGAAGAATTTCGTTTGAAAAGGACTCATTGCTAAAATTGTTCATTGATTGAAACTATTTACAAACTGTATGTTCAAAACTGACAAATATGTATAGTTAAATCATTAATCTAATCATATATAAATGTTATTTACCTTTCATCCATCGTATAAACATTGCTGATACTGGGCATGATTGTGACATGATCTTTTTTATCTTCATCTGAAACAATGTCCCCGTTTTCTTGAAAGGTACACTCCTTCGTTTTGCTTGTGATGGAAGATGAAGCAATATTGATCTTATTGGTTCGGTCAACATCATTTGGATATTCCGGATCTACAGCTCCCCCAGCCTCTTCCCCAACTTGACCATGTCCTGGAGACATATCTTGCACAGCATTCCCAGTTGAAGGATAACTTGAGCTAGCCATTCCGCCATCATATCCAACTGACAGATCTTTCCCTTCTAAGGCCCTGTCCATGCTCATATGTGTGATGTCCATGGCAGTGGAACCCTGAACCTTCATAGATAATCCAACGACTTCCGTTGACCTGGTTTAATATTGAGGCGTCTAGTTTTACTCACTTAGTGTCAGTTTTGACACATGTCAGTATATCCTTAAAGAAATATTCTGCTGGTATACAATGAGTTATGACAAAATTTCCATAAACAAGTTGCACTGATATGGTTGTTAGGCTATCGTGATATCCAGAGAAGCCTTTTCTCAGTGCTTCATACCTGTCCAAACACAGTTAGGACCACAATGACAACTAAAATTAGCTACTGATATAGCACAATTTGGCTAAGTATCACATGACTCATTAAGTCCACAGCACGCATCCATGATCATGAATAGTCCCTCCCAAAGTGTGACTAAGCTGAAATACAGACTAAATTTGTCACTTACTTCAGAAGATAAATAGCTGGACTTTCACACACTTGAATTTGACATTTTACAGACCTAAACATTAGCTTTGCATGCAGTATAGGTAACATGCACCATATCAGTACTTGTTGTTATACATGTATTATGCTTAATGTATCAGGTAAAAGGTTATCAAATAAGTTATGTGCAATATCCGCAACTGTGAAAATAACTTCAAGTCTATATATGACACTACATGAAATTTACAGATTTGAGTGCTCTGACACATACCATTCATTATAAGTAGCATTTATTCCCCTATTACAATTTATGAGGATACACAGAATACAAATAACTAATGGCTAGGCATAGGTTTATGTGTGAATTGGGTATAACACCACTTTGAATGGTATTCCAGTCATTATACCAGCTGCCTTCTAAATGTGAAAAATCCCATGAGCATGGGTATGGTGTTGATAAACCTAGAAACATAATCGGGGCGAACCTGGATTCGAACCTACGATCATAAGTTTCTGGCGTGCCAAAGGGACGCACATCTGCCCAACGAGTTGTCCTGCCCTCCCTTGAAGCAACGGCAGAAAGGATATTCTCTCGAATATTAAATAGTCGCCCCCAAAAGTCAACCACACATCCTGAGATACCAAATACCGACACTGATAAGTTGAAAAAGACATTTTTCTATGATGGTCAGTTTAGTAGGCTTTGATAATCTTCATTCTAAATCATACACATAAGAGAATGGTTACACTCGTACTGTGGATGATGATATATCGATTAAACATAGAGACCTTCATTCACCTTTGGGCCTATGATTCTAACAAATGTGCCATCTACACACCCTAGCACATTTGGAAATCCTGAAAAAAATGACATTCTTATTTTTTATAATTTTTATTGGTTAAAAGGATGATGGTGAATGGTAATTTCATATTGATTCATACCTGAACATTTTACACTTTACAATTATAGAATGCCGCCTAAGGGAACTATTATGACTGTTCAAAACAATGCCGTTTTCTAAACTTCGGATTTTAGCATTGCTCTAACTTGCACTAAGAGTTATGCCCCCTTTACGTTTATAACGTAATGTTAAAACGGTTGAAAGATTGAAGAATTACCTGCGAATTTTGTGAAAACTTCTGTTTTGTGGTGTCTGCATCTGATCCTGTCGGCATCCTCACACACCGGTAAGCAGCTGAACACGAGTGACACGATGTAAAGAATCGTTTCCGCCCGAAACCTAAATCTAAGGAACAAATCATCGTCCGACGTATTCCAGTGGGTTTTCACGATCGGTAAGCCGCCTGGAAATAACCTGTCTCCTTCTTGATCTCCGCTTACGTCTATTAGCAATCGCCTTTTCTGCTTACTTAAGTTTTACGTGGTTTCGAAATCAGTTTAAGTCGAAAATTGAACTCAGTTTGGTTTGAGAAATGCATTTTTGCTGAGTTTTCTCAAATTTGAGTAAAAACTCAGACCTTAATCAGTTTTTGAACTTAAGTTTGTTTCGAGAAATCGGGGCCTGATGCTAAAAGATTGTAGTGGTTGCACCTCTTTATTTCACAGACCGTTTGTACATAAATAGATGACAAAGCGTAAGAGAAAGAATATATTTTCTCAGACCTAGTGATGAAGAAACATAGAACTGTGAGTACACATCCCTCAGTATATTGATGGATGTCATTTTTTAGATTTGACAAATCAACTTTTCCAAAGCCACTAAATCGTAAACATGAAGGAACAACATATGTATATGTACTCGCTGCAGAGGCAGATTCGACTAAGAGTTTAAACCAGGCAACTCATTCGACAGGGCGGTATTGTATCTCTCCACATTTCTATCGCCCACGCCTTTCTACGGTCATTTACTTGAAGCTGTCAGAATGAATAAATGTTGTTGATGTTCTCGCTGAAGAGTCAGATTCGACTAAGAGTTTAAACCAGCAACACTTGAGACAAGGGAATATTGCATCTCTCCTTATTTCTGTCTACCGTGACACGAGCTGTGTGCGGTGGAGCGATTTGCTGCCAAATTTCCCTGAACCACAACCAAGTCAGATCTCGTGGTGTAGGATATGCGATATGGCGAATGCCATAACTTGCACGTGCATTTTCTTTACTGTTTTCCCCCATGAATTTTTGAACAAGTGTGAAAACAATGACGTTTAAGACATTGCAAATCGACAAGGCTGCGTTTTGACACACCGTTAGTCGAATATCAGGCCACTAACATTTTCCCAAAACATATATCCAATTTATATACCGGATGTTTTTTTGTGTGGTCAGGTTCAATGGACTTCATACTACCTGTGCGTTTCTTTTCTGAAGAGTGTATATTCCAAAATGTTAATTTTTCTTGAAATATTTAGATTGTGGGTCATGTTCCCATGAAATATACTAGAATATCCTTCCTTCATGGCGCTCATATTGGATTTGGCGGGTGGCCCTATATCTCAAAATATTTGGAATGTCATTAGTTACAACTGTGCAAAGTTTCATGCTTTTATCACAAAGGGTACATTGACCCTATATCTGTAATGAAATCGCTCCACTATACCACAAGCATAGGTTGCTCAGGATCGAAATAATGGTATACTGTGGAATCACGATTTGAATATTTACACATCTTCACTGGAATGAAATAGTGACAGACTTATGAGTGCCAATGGTTGTCAGACACTGAATGATCATTGGGAGGAAGAAAACACCAACACCGATACAGCCGAGTATCAAGAAAGACAGATCATAGGACCCAGTCAAATCAAACAGCGTCCCTGTAATTGCAAAGATTATATATACAATGTATATCTCTGTAAAGGAAAAATATTTTATGCACGACAAATTCTTTAATCTACTATTATGTGACATTTCGGTATAGATTTTTATACCGCTGTCAAGCAGCAAAAGGTCACGTTTATTATGTTTGATATTTGTCATTATCTTGTCTTTACGGAGTATGCACGTCCGAGAGAAAATATTTACTTTCCCTCAAAGATTACATTACAGATGAGTATCCCCATCGTCATGCTGGAAGGTGCAGTGATTGCTGAACCCAAGCCGGTAGCCACAGCATAATAGCCTTCCCTACCACGTTGTGTATGACTGTAATCAGGGAAGGACAGAACCATAAAATATATAGGAACTGATATTTCCTGATTGTTTCTAGACCTGGAGTCGACGACCGTACAATGCATGAAGGCTAGACCCCCTTAATTATGTGAACAATCGTGCATCTTTTATGACAGTATATTCCATATATAGAGTTCTTCAAAACGACAATATGAGAGTGTGTATACTCAACGTGTCCTACCGTGATCCCCTTTGCAGTTTAGTTAATAGAAATAGATTCGGAAAATTGTCAGTTTATTGTTTTTAAGGCCATTTGACCCATATGACATACATGTATATTATGTATACAATTATATTACATTGACATGCATCAAGGTATTGGATTTAATTACAATTTAGAGGAAATATAGTCTCAAGTATTTTACAATTAATTGTAGACACCATATCGTGGGCTTGGTTCTTTGTTAAAAGTTCATAGTGGGTACGTGCATCGGTATATAGAGGACATACAAACCAAACATGTTTTCATCTTCTAGACAGTGCGAGCAGAGGGAGTCTTCATCACCTACAACACTTTTACGTACGTTTTGAACACCCAGGTATATTATATCCTATTCTCTATTTTAACCAAGCCTTTCTGTAATTAGGTATATTAATACTTTGTGTATACGATTCAACCTGAAGTTCTGATTTCATGGTTGAATAAGATACAAGTGATCGTTTATCTATGAGAAGAGAATGCCATTCAAGAATAGATTGTTTCAGAACAAAGATAAATGCTTCTTCATCACCCACTCCCTGGGATATCCAAACATGCCCGAAGACGAATCTGACCATGATATCTAATACGAGATGCCCAAATTAAGTATTTCCAATCACAGGTATCGTATAGCATTTGATATCACTGATGCGGGTGTCTATATGTGGGCATAGATAAAACACGAAAGCAATATATTTAATAGTTATAAAATAATATTTTGTCTAGAGTGGATATCTGCCACACTCACCATGTGGAACAGCATTGCACAATTTACCACGTACAATTTCTTTACATTTCCTTTGAGTGTATCCCAACAACTGACTACCATACAACAAATATCGGTACTATTTTTGTGTCAAATATTACAAAGGCATTATTAGCGTATATATTGTATTTTCTCACAAGCATTTTAACAGTATAAAGTGTTTTACTTGCCTGTTCCGCAAGGCTATTGGAAGCTGTAGTCCAAATTAGTTATCAATAGAACCAGATGTTTGTAGGAGCTAACAGTCTCAAGTGGTACACTATTATAGGTCTATCTTTCGTAATGCCATCATCTAGAGAGTCTGCCACCGTTTTAAATACAATGATATTAGTGTTTTGTGCATTTATTTCCATTCTCCAGATTTCACAGTATTCTTGCAAGAGATACAATCGTCTTTCTACTTTTATAGTAGTATCTGCTACCAGTATTAGATCGTCTTCAAATTTCTTCTGATATGAACACACCCTTGTCTAATCTAGAGCCAATAAAATCTACTAATTCCACATTGAAACTGAAAAAGTAAAGGACTGAGAGTATGTCATTGTCGTACACCAACCGAACACGTAACATACTCAGATAATACTTCCATTACACATAGAAACTGCAGATTTAACATGACTATACATAGTCTGAATAACTCTAAAGAAATTACCTTGAATGCCATTGTTGGATAGTAAAGACATCAATATATTTCTATTGACCATATAAAATGCTTTCTTAAAGTCTACGAAAGCGCAGTACAATTTACCTTTTTACGTTTAATGTGTTTCTGTATTAATGCCTGTAAAATGAATATATTGTCCACAGTGGAATGATTTTTAAACCCACCTTGGTATTCCCGAATAATGTCTTTTTTATCTTCTATGAAAGTATTTTATTTAGTATAAATGCAAATATCTTACTCTTGGTGTTAAGTAAGGATATTCCTCTACAGTTATTAGGATCTTCTGTATTGCCTTTCTTATGTACGGGTATTAAAATGAATGTATCCCAAAGCACTCAGAAAATTACCTGTAATCAATATTTGGCCAAACAGCACAGTGAGATTTGGAATTGGTATATCTTGGCATTTTTATAGAACTCGGAGGGAAGACTGTCATCTCCTGGAGATATGTCAACTTTAAGATTATCCATTGTTTCCGCTACATCACACAATGTAATCTCTGATGATTGATCATCAGGTTGCAGGCACATTTCACAGTCAGCAAGTGTATGTAATGACAAGAAACTGTCCACCCCTAGACTCTGTTTCCACCTCCCCGTTCATCTCCTGGTTAAGCAGATTATGAAAGTGTTCCTACCAATCATGAACTGGTACATTGATACTTTTTCATATTTCTTAACTAATTTCCTAAAGATCTTACAGTCGTGTGTATCAGCTGCTTGAATGACAGATATTCTTAAACCTATTTCTGGCTTGTTTATACATGAGAACGTTTTCTCTTTTTGGGCTGAGACAGGACACGTTTAGAAGTGTCCCTATGAAATTAAAATCCCACGAAGCGTCTGACAATCTTCCACTGACAATACAAGATCACTGACAAACAATTAAGCTATTTTGACGAATTTTCTTCCATAATTGTCAATAATAGTGTCCCCGTTTGCACGTACAGACGGGGTAAATTCAACAGAGCAGTGAATGTCCTCATCAATGGTTAGATGGTCAACTGAGCCATCCTCAGTAAAGTCATTCAAGTTACCAATTCTAGCTTTCGTGGCACCACACAGTATCAGATTGCTGTCTGGGTGTTCACATTTAACAAAAGTACTGTCGGAAATGCTAGAAAGTGCTTTTCCTACTACAGACTACATGTCGTGTACCATGGCTATGGCTATGCAAGTGTAATGTAACATGCATCATCGGGGCAGTGTTGACAAAACAAACACAGCGTCAATTTTTTATTTTAGAAGATGTACATCTAGAATTTTCTCCATGATATTTGTGCGTGGATTAGATGTTTTATGAAGACTACATTATTATCATTAACGGAGTCACGTGCTCATCTTCTGTAGTCCGTTTCGGACTGCCATCATAAATGTGAACTTACTGTTTTCGTTCGATTTTTTCACAGGTAAACTTGTCCTTGGACTCCTTGAGACTGAAATACTTCAAACCACATGTAGGTCAATTGGTAGCTACTGATATGTCAATAGCAACAGTCTGTGAAAAAATCTATCCATTTTTAAGGGGAAAAACGAATTTTTCTAGCATTCCCACGGTCCTTTAGTTGCTCAAGATCTTCCATACCACAGCGATTCTCGGTTGTTTCTGGTGGAACACAAACAAAGAGCAGCATCAGACGTTTTATTCCCAGCAAAACGGAATAATAGCAGCCATATGTTTTATTCGTTTTGCGAATCTGCTTGTACTGTTAATATTTGCTAAATATATGTGCAAAGTCCTTTACCTTTTTAGCTCATGTTTCCAACAGGCAAAAAATATATGAAATAGGAAGGAAACTGCTAAAGTCAGGAATACTTAGCTTGTTGTAAAGTCTGTTTACATTTCAGCTTAGAAGCACCCGTTTTTAGTTGGGGTTGCATCACCAGTGTTGGTGAGCCCTGGGCCACGGCCCATTCCCGAGAGTGTAATGATCAGCAAAACGCCGCTAATGAGGAAAATTAGGAGTCACCGGAGCTTATATATAAACCGTAATTATCTGAAGTGGGAACAGTGCCTGTCGTGTGAAAGGATAGCATGATAATACAAATTGAGCGTTTCAGCATGTCCGTGAAATATTCAGACCCTGCCCAACCAATCCAATTTTACATGGATTCAACTGAACTGTGTTGTCTATCCCACCTGTACATGTATAAGACGTGCTATTAATCATTCATCAAGGACAATACTGTAATGGAAGCCTGAACCGTAGAGAGGATATCCGAGGCAGTGCTTGTGTTCCTCGTTTGAATGTTTCAGATTTTCAGAAGTTTACAACTGGATGGGCTACATCAGTTTTGCGGCATTACTTACAACACTCTTATATCACTGTACATATGCCCCATTATGTACAATTGTGGAAACATTTTTGCAGTCGCTCAATTAGTAAGGGAAGTGATGTAAAATGTGTATTTTTGCACCCGTTAAGTGATGACGTTCAAGAAGCATCCCCTTGATGCAACAATCACGGAAATGTGTTCACGAAACATGAATGTTGTTCTGGCCAGTAATTGACCACAATCCCTTGGTTTGCATAACTCGATGTCATCAGATGAAAAAGTTAGTTTCGTGGATCACAAAAACGTTGTTGTAAGAGTACATAATTCGTATTTAATTTGTTTAGTATCAAAATGCTATGCTATGGGATATTTAGATTAATTGTTGCGTATTTCATGAATATTTGACGATTTCTAAAGCCACGAACCTCTTCTGTATGTACTCCTACATGCGGGTATGCTGGCTGTGGGTTGCTGTTTCTCCGTTTAGTGAACCATTTTCCCGCTTTTCCTATTGAGTGCACGTTGATACCTTGTATATAGTTTTATTTTCGTTTGTAGGTGATTGTAATAATCGTAACATAATTGTGTCCTTGAGTTACAAGTCTTTCCACACGAACAAGCTGGATATTACGATTTTGGCTATGTGCCTTCGCCTTTAATGAATATGAACCTCACTGGTGTGAAATAGTGAGTGAGTGAGTGAGTTGGGTTTAACGCCGCTTTTAACAGTATTCCAGTTATATCGCGGCGTGTCAGCTTAATGTGGGAGGGAAGCCCGAAGTGATGCAAGTCTTAGACGTTTACCGCTTCGGTGAAACCCACGAGCACGGGTATGGTGCTGACTAACCTAGAAACATAATCGGGGCGAACCGGGATTCGAACCCACAATCATAGGTTTCTGGCGTGCCCAAGGGACGCAACTCTGCACAGCGAATCGCGGCGCCTTAGACGGCTGGGCCACCCGTGCCCCCTGAAATAGTGACATATGTCGAATATCAGGAAAGGCAGATCATACGACCCAGTCACGTCATACAGTTTGCCTGTTATTGAGAAGAAAAAACCCATAACGGAATACCACAAAACGAAAAAACCCATAACGGAATACCACAAAACGAAAACTCCAAACCCAGTGAATTGCAATTACTTTCATTTACAAAAGCAATATACTAAGTTTAAGTTCACAGCATTTTGCTGTCCTAAAGGCTCAGAGGTTCAAGAACATAGTAAGAACAACATTTACAAAGACTACAGTGAATGAATGTAATGCAGTAATACTTTTGGTAAGTGAATGCTGTTTTGCGCTGTAGTTAGAGACTGGAGATATCTCATGGTGTCAAGACTGGGACAGGCAGACACTTGTTTGATACCATGAACATCATACTCCACGCTGTTGGCGCACGATGACCAGGTCACACATTGTTACCTCCAGGGCCTCGTTCCTCAAAGCGATCTTAGCGCTACAGTCATCCTAAGACTATGTTAAAGTATGGGGCCTGCTATCACCTTAGCGCTACAGTCATCCTAAGACTATGTTAAAGTATCGGGCCTACTATCACCTTAGCGCTACAGTCATCCTAAGACTATGTTAAAGTATGGGGCCTACTATCACCTTAGCGCTACAGTCATCCTAAGACTATGTTAAAGTATGGGGCCTACTATCACCTTAGCGCTACAGTCATCCTAAGACTATGTTAAAGTATGGGACCTACTATCACCTTAGCGCTAAGATTGCTTTGAGGAACGGGGCCCAGATCATTAGTAATAGGCCTTACGAAAGGCCTCGCGGTGACCTGGAGACCTTAATGTATTAGCCATTAGTGTCCCTTGGGTTATGCAGGAGGCTCCAGTGACTGCCCCGCCAAAGCCCATGGACACAGCACACGTTTTCCCCTACCACTTGGAAGACAACTACAAATAAAATCATTTAGATTAGTATAAACCATTACGTGAAGTAGACTTTCTAGCTGCAAAGCGTTGCATTAGATCCCAGTACTCTGTGCTTCATAAAAAGTGATGAAACACTACCAAGCGAATAGCATACAATATTGATATTTGGCAAGTACTGCAAGTACATTTAAGGTTGAAACATTTCATCATTTGTGGTTGCCATTGGTTTTGCATAACTTCAGTTCCCTTTCTTGAGATAAAATGCTACTGTATATGCATAATTTGTTTAACTGTAATATGTTCTGCAACTCATCAGATTATTGCTGTACACTCTTCAGTCGCGTTAATGAGTAAATTACGATCGCACGTTTTAGAACTCGCTGAAGATAAACAATTTTGGTGTTTTGGTTTACCAACATTATGCAGATAGGAGAACAATGTTACTTATCTTGCCTTTGCATGCTTTTGTGACGGTGGCAACGATGGAGCAGGACTCTCAACTTTCGGCAAACACCTGGTAGAACTATTTGATAGTGAGTAACAAACTCGTGCTTGTGATATAGTCGGAATCATACAATGACCTAGTTCGAAACTGATTGTTCTTTGGCGTTGGCGGTTTACATTATGAATATGAAAAAAAGAAAGAAAAAACCCTCAATTGACACAGTCTATACATTTATTGAAGTGTCAACTATGATGATACAATCAGAGGCATCCACTGTACCTTAACAAATATGTTATTGTGCTCAATTGTCAATGCATTTTCATTGTATCAAGTTGAACGCTTAATGCAATAGTATAATCAATCACCAAAAACGTTCTGATCCAAAGGCCATGAAAAACGAAAGATAACAGTTTTCCATTTTTAAGGTGTTTGTTGTTAACACTGCCCTCGGCAGATTTCAAGGTATATGGCGGTGGCCTGTTAATAGCCGAGTCTGGACCAGTCAGTCCAGTGATTGATCTATGCCGATGTATGTACGATTACACACAGTCAATCAAGCCTGACCACCTGATCCCTGTGGTCGACTCTTATCACAAGCATAGGTTGCTGGGGACATGGATCATGTTATACTGTAGAATCACCTTCTTTAATATTTATACATCTTCACTGGTGTGATATAGTGACAGACTTGTGAGTGCCAATGGTTTTCAGACACCGAATGATCACTGGGAGGGAGGAAGCACCAACACCGATACAGCCGAGTATCAAGAAAGACAGATCATACGACCCAGTCAAATCATACAGCGTCCCTGTCATTGAAGAGAATACGTACAATGTATATCTATTATGTTACACCTGAAACAAATCAACAAAAAGGTACTGTTATGTATGATTTATCTGTGTCATTATCTTGTCTCAATTGGATGCATGGCCGAGGGCAAATAATTTCTTTCCCTACAAAAGATTATATTACCTATGAGTATCCCCATCGTCATGCTGGAGCAACCACTTATTGCTGAACCGAAGCCGATAGCCACAGCATACTTGTCTTCCCCTACCAGGTTGTGTATGACTGCAATGAGGGAGTGATAGAACCATGAAACACATACAATTTCATAAAAATCAAATCGTAGTTCTCGCTACCGCTAAACAAAGATCTGAGGACGTCCCATGACAGGTCATGTCGGGGCCACCTTTCATACTGACCAATCAGAGCGTAGCTTACAAGATCAGGAAAGTGACAGTCGGAATGTGTTTTCTCATCATGTAACCTCGAAAAGATTGACACGGGGTACTCCTGTCGACATTTACGGTATGTACGACTGATTCTATTAAAATCATCTCATATGTCATTTCAATGGGATAAATTTTGCATAGCCCGTGGGAACTACTGCCATTCAATCTCGGCCATCTATAAGACATTCCAGAATGTCCTTTTGTTCAGTTTTTAAAATTTGAATCGAGAACTTTGTTAAAATATTTTTTAAAGCGTAGTCTGGAATGTAGTCTGAAATTTAAGGGAAGTCGCCAGTTTGAAACTTGTGCTGCATGGAGGCTAGACCCCCTTAATTATGTGAAAACTTCAGGAATTCTGCATCTTTTATGACAGTTTATTCCATGTATAGAGTTAATTAAAACAGCAATATAACGTATGTATTCTCAAATTGTCCTGCCGTGATATCCTTTGTAGTTTGGTCAATAGATAAAGATCGTCATTAGAAGAAGAGTCATGTGAGTCAAAGCACATGGTGTAAATGTCACATTACTAAAATACCTGTGTGACATACCCATAGGAAAACTGCCCACCATCCCGCCTGCACCTAATCCAAGAAGAGAAAAGCAGCCAACGATCATGCCATAAGTGTACGCCAAGGAAAGCGCAACAAGAGAGGCACTGGATAGTAACACTGACATGCAGAACACTTGGTAGGTCTTCACACCTGGGACCATCTGTATCAAGCCGACGAGAAATCGCATTGCAGCTCCCAGCCCATTAATCAGCAACAAAAACACCAGTCCTGTCTCGTATGACAGACCCTTAGACATGCCAAAGTCCACTGCAGTGACGGAAGTTGAAGTTAATATTCCAAACCCTACCATGGCACACACTAAACAAGATCCATACATAGGATTTAAGATATGCTGATATTTGGACTTTTCTTTTTCATTTTTCGATGTTGTCTTTTCATGTTTGGCTGATAGTGTTGGTGATGCTTGGTGTGGCGACGTTACGAGTAGACACGAAGATGTAATGTTCAATAAGCCACCGCTAGCAAGGAGAAGTGCACCTCTCCAACCATAAGTCTCCTTGAGTTCCTCCAAGACAATGGGGAAAACAATGCTCCCGACGCCTGCCGAGGAGGTCATAATTGACAGCGCCATTGATTTAGATCTTGCATCATGAAACGTATGCGACAGGGTGACAAGGGAACTCAGATACACCATGCTGCATCCAAAACCTGACCATGAAAAACAGAGTGGACATTTTACGCAGGTACACAGACAATTACTATCCTGCATAGAACTTTATTAAGGTATGGACCATGTAATATTCTTGGGGAGTTTCAATACCCAACACCTCTTTTACTGATTATTTTGATAGTTTAAGTGGAGTCATACAAGGTTGTATTATCATCCCCTTTTTATTTGCAATGTATATTTCAGAATTTCAATCCATGATAGAAGGTGCAGATGTAAGAGGTATGTTTATAGGCGTGGAATATTTGGAACTACTGTTATTATAGTATGCTGATGATTTATGTATTTTTGATGACAGTCGTATTACAATGAAAGATTGACATTTTGACAAATATGGATTAGACAGAAATATAAGTTTTTCGAAAAGTTTGTCATTTAGGACATTATGAGAAGTGTTTTTTTATGGGGAGCTTCTAAAATATCATCTTATTACATGTTTAATTATTTAGGCATGATGTTTTCTAGGTTGTCGTAGACAGATTGTATCAAAAGCCAGTAAAGATCTGTTTTTTATTAAGAAATATTACAGCATAAATACCCAAATATTCCTGTAAATATGTTATTTTAGTTCTTAAATATATGTTAAATAAAGCCAATGTTGTTATTTTGGGCGGAGGTGTGGGGCTTCGAAAAAAGAGCTGTAATCGATAGATTTCATAATATATTTTTGTAACTATTTTTTGGGTGTTGGTAAAGGTCCATGTAGTGTAGCTTTAGCTGGCTGTGGTAGACATGGATTTTATTTGGATTACTACCAAAAATGTGTAACTTGCAGATGTTAATTGTAATGAATGTTTGGCGATGGCTATCCCAAGCAATGTTACATACTTATTAAGACGTTAGATTCAACAGGAAGGAAGACAAGGGCATCTTGTGTCAGATAATTGTTATACACGTATGGTTTCGGATATGCATGGATTAGTCAAGATGTTGCAGATACTTTATGTTTTCTGTCGATATTCAGACAGAAATTAGAAGACTGTCAAAAAAAAAAATTATGTTTAGTCGTATCAATGATTCAACATGACTTGCACATAAGAATATTAAGTCATTGCTGACTGTTGAATATTACGTTACAAATATCAATGTTAGGAACTAAAGAAAATATATATGTTTGTTGAGATTGTATGAACTGCCGTTGCGTTGTTAAATTAGATGAAAGATGCTATAACTGTTCACCGAATTTGTAGGATGTGTAATACTAATAGCATGGAAGATTGACTCCATTTCATATTCGATTGCGAGGCATATGCGTCGCTGAGAAATAAGTACACACCGAATTAGGGCTTTTCATACAAAATTTGTAAATTTCGTAACTTATTGACTTATAATAATGTCAATCTTAATGAATGTGCTAAGTTCGTCAAAGAAGCTCTGATAGTGTACCACATTGTACATGGGCCGTAGGTGTACAAAACAGGATTAAAACTACCCTATGTTATAGAAGCCTTACTATCTTAATCGATGACTTACCCATGACTACACCTATAGATACAATGAGGAAGACGTAACTTGTGGCAAACCAGCTGGTGATTAGCCCAAAGGAGGACACTATGCTGCCAAAGAACATCACAGTTCGAGTCCCAAACTTCACAACCAAGAACCCATTCACAAAACCTGTTTAATAATACTAATAATACTACTAATAATAATAATAATAATGTTACAGTATTTGAGCAGTGCAAGTAACATCTATGAGATTTGACCATCATATGACATCACAAAAATTATCGTATAGAAGTTTTGACCTTTTAACACATACTTGGGTCAAACTTTCTCAGATACTATCAGTGATGAGTGATCTAATTGTATCTGAGCCATCAATAAGACTTATTTTAGTTTTAGCTGCAAAACTATGAATTTCCTTTCTTATGTTGCTGTGAAGACAACATGATGGACTCGTGCAAGATCAATATACATTTTCACAGACCTGTGGTTTATCATTTTGGTTCCGTTTACTGTCACATAATGCATTACTGAACCTTGTAATCAATAAACTCTACATCGTGTGTTGCTTTCAACCATTTGAGGTCATGTATCTCTTTGCTATGTCGACTACCTCGGGAGTTTAAAGCACAGTGTATTAAGAGTCAATTTTGTGTCAAGTTACTGCTTAACCCGAACTCAAGTCTTGCCTCCCATGAAGGTTAATCCCACAGCTGTTGACTGGATGGACGCTGTTTGAGCACGTGTTGTCTGAAAAGCCTCCAGCCAATCCACGAAGAGAGCACCAAGTGAGTATGGAAGTCCTACAGCAAGCAAGACGTTGAAGCAGCAGCCGACGATGGCGACGAGTTGTGGAAAGAACCGCCTGGGCCCCCCATTCTTGACTACCTGTATCTCGTGCCTGATATATTAGAACAGGATAGTTATTCAAACTAAAACATGAAGACAGATCTTGTTTTTGCCCGTGTTCACGGGTTAATTTTTTTGGTCTGAATCATAAGGAATTATAAGGAATGCACTGCTTAGGACATGCCCGAAAGGATTATTTCCGGGCCAGAAGATTTGATAATGTGCCAGACACATTCTCTACAAATTGCCCTAACAACACATTTCCATCGCTCGATGTTTAGGAAAGTGATTCATAAACACAATCTCTTGATAAAGTCGGAATCGTAAAATGAGCAGTTTCTAGCAATTTCAACAGCGATTTCTTGTGGCTATGGAAATAGTTTTCTACCTGGTATTTACATCATAGGAACCGTTTACGATGGACACTTGAGGCTATGTCTCTTTATCACCCGGGACATATATTACCATAGCACACTGTTTAGCGTTAAATAAAAGTGACACAACCCTTTCCTTATTCAAAAGAATAAAGAGTCGATTGTACGATTCCGGCAACATCATGAGCATGTGTTCATGTGTCAGAGGTTGTGTTCCTCTGTAAAAGATATTTCGCAGAACATGTTCCTTTACCACATGCACACAAATATATATTCTGTATTGAGCACAGATCTAGAACAAGTGCGTATTTAGTCACCAACATGTCTTCACATATTATACATTAACATCTGTGTGACTTGTTCATATACATGTTAAAGTTACGCATCGCCTATGAGACTTATGCCTTAATTTCTTAAGCAATGACATCATGGAAATTTGAGCGACAAAACCCTTTCCCAAACATTCTGACCATATCCGAACGCATCCTGATACCAATACATAGCTGCCACTTACTTATCTTCCATCCAATTCCCATTGCTGATACTAGGCATAACTGTCTCTCCTTCATTGTGCATGTACCCAGGATTGTGGTAACATGTCTTTCCTTCCATTGCCTTGTAACCATACACATTAACATCTCCCTGGAAGGTGTTCTTGTTGGAAGCATTCTGATTTGAAGGAGGAGTAGCAGAACGTTGTTGATTAACAGCTCCCATGTCCCCGTGTCTGTCTTGATAAGCAGCATCTCGAAGATCATGGCCCAGAGAAGGACAACCAGCCTGGCTTCTGCCAGGTTGCACTGACAGATCAATCTCATTTAACTCAAACTGGCTATCCACATGGTCATCGTTGTTGTCTTTCACGTTGATGCCCCGTTCCTTCATAATTGAACTAATCCTTGTGTGGCCTGATAATGACACTTGGTTAAGCATATCTTTTCGGTTTCTGTCAGCTCTGTCAGTCTCAACATTTGTTTTTGTTCAACCAGGAGGATAATGTCTTTGGTGTACGTGAATGTGCTTACAAATGGAGATTGTAACTTAGCTCATTAAGGCAAAAACATGCTCCATAATCAAGGTAAGTCTTGTGTAACCCTTTCAAGTGACAAAGCTAAATACGTGTGTGTCTTTCTTGTATATTTCATATTGGCACTGCTCAACGTGTAACAAGTGTGTGCAAGTTGTGACCTACAAACGTCAAACAGGATTCTATGCTGAACATATAAATAAAAGTGACAAAACAAACACATGCAAAAAGACAAGTCAATTGTTTACCCGAAGAAAACCTCGGTCAATATTATCAGACATAATGATTGTGACTGATGCGTCTTATTTGGAAATGTCCTCTGCATGTCAACCATAAAACTTTTTAAAGCTTCACTAATTCCTTGAATGCTGTAATCTTGATCAAACAACTTTTGAGCAAGAGTCATAAGACGTTCTTTTAAATCTTTGTAGAAAGAGCATGCTCCACTGTACCTCAAGAGTTATGAGATGTAGACATGAAAGGCTGTATCTACTGCAATAGTTTTTTACATGTTGTTGACTATTGAGAACTTGAAGTTATCCCTCTTGTGAATAGTCTTGTTAATAGCTTTTGTCATTCCATGTTAGGCATAGATCTAAATATGAAACAGATAATTCACTTTCACTGGTCTCTTTTTTTTCATTTACCCCACTCGGGTGGATAAATCAGTAGAGGGAATTGGCTATTTGACCATTTATGAACCATATCTGATATGATCATCGATATTGTAGCGGCCCGGACCCGAACTTCTGATAAACCTTGAAGTCAGGATGTAATTGAGAGTCAAAACACTTCTTTTCAATGAATAATTAGTTTTTATTCATGTGGATATAACAATGCCTTATATGGACAACACAATGCTTCCAAATAAGTAGATCCCTCTGAGCTTTAAGGTTTATTTGTAAGGACCAGTGTCAGGGCAAAATAATTATTGCCTGTAACTATAATGGTAGTTTACTGCTATAAATATATATAGATGACTTCTTTATCTGAATAACTTTACAGTTACTAAGATAGCAATTTGTGTCTGTGTTCAAAATTGCAGTCTTTTTATAGAAATGATTACATAAGGACAAGGGGAACTTTTGGGCTGAATTATCTGCCCTTTGATTGAAACTGACCTTTAGACTGCCAAAGTCAGAATGACCCAGAATGGATCTCATCGTATTTATAGGTGTGAGAAAATGGTCACATGTCTGTTATTGACCAATCAAATTACGAGAAATTACGTCTCTTTACGTCCTTATTCCTTTGAGGGATCTACTTTCACAATGTAAAATCACTGAAATAAAGAGGAAGGCAAACCATCTCAGGAGGTAATTTGGTATAAAAATGAGTATTTATACCAATCAATTAATTCTGTCTAATTGATTCACTAATTGCCTTCCAATATCACAAGATTAACAATTACGTCCTGCTACGTCAAAGCTACGTCCTTGCTGCCTGCCGAGAGGACGTAATAACAACAAGCAACATCGACTGGGAATTACGATGGACAATTCAAAGAGGAAGATTACAAATTTCAGGAGGCAATTGGAATTTATCTGATGCATAAGACGTTTTATAACACAAATTGGCCACTGGTATGCTTTGACAGAAGCACTGGATGTCATATTTATGAGAAACATGTTCATAAATAGTGACGCTAAATACTGCGCATGAATACATCAGCGAAGATTACATAGTTCCTGATGTCAGAATTAACATTAACTTTAATACACGTCTTGACATATCATCAAATACGATTCTGGGTTCCTCTGGACATAGTTCATTAGATTAAATAAACTTTATAATGCAAAATGCTAAGCATTAGCCAAATTCAGTAACTTCATCGCGACCTAGGCTAGCTGTCACAAAGATAAAATGGCGGGCGTCGGCGAAACACGTAGCTCAGCCCTGATCACAAATTCACACAAATATGGATAAATATCAAGCTGCCAAGTGATTGTGATCTGTTTGTTGAAGAACAAAGGTATGATTAATCTGTATCTGATGGTTAATTTGCGTAACTGTGTGCTTAGAACGATGAATTCTTCAAGTGTTACGGTCAATGCAAAACTCTTGAAAAAAGTAAACAAGATCGTTTTGACAGGCACGTTGTTGACATCGATGCTTATGAGGTACTGGCACATCCTAAACAATATGCGTAACATGATGGCATGGACATATTATTATTTTTACGAGATAACAGTGTGCCATGAAGCTCTATAAAAGCATGCTATGATCCTCTGATAGATTTCTTACCAAAACGGGATTCAAAACATTGAATTACGTGAAAACGAGGTTGGCAAAAATATACTGATATATACCTGCAAAACTAAGTACAGTTTACAGGATAATTATGATATAATTCGTGCACTGTCATATAACCATAAAAAATACAACAGGGAAATATTTAGGAAATATTTCTAATTTTTACAAGCTGTCATAACTTACATATTTTATAATAAAGACACATCAATATTTATATATTCTTCGTGATGGCCATCACAATATACCCGAAACTTAAATTAAAGCCTCTCGGCCAAATTTCCTTTTTTTGATTTTATATGCATAAGAAAAAATATATGCAAAAGGGGGAGCACAATTGGGGCAGCATACTTCTTGTTTAAATGTATTATCCTCAAATTACACACACATATTATCTATGAGGATTTCACATATTGTTTTCTGAGTATAAGAAGTATCTTTGTGTATATTGCTACCAATTCAACATGAATATTTGTCGCAGAATTGACTTTCCATAGGCAGTGTTCACCTGCCAGACAAAACTGATGTAACTATCGATTACTTACTGATTGATTTGGAATGTAAATCTTGTCATTTATGATCTGTCACAGTGGGTCATTAATGTGCATTGACATTGAACCGGAACAATGGGTATTGATTGACAGAGATACCAATGGAGGAGGTTCACCTTAACGAACAGGCATGTATAGTTTGTCATCTTAGTTTGGATAGAGATAATATACTTGCAAATATGGGCTACCATGAATATTATCATCATTGTATGACATGTCCTGTTGAAGTGTCTCATGGCATATTTCACCTGTAAGGACACATTTGTTTCCCTTAGCCTTTTGTAACTGTTCTTGATTCCGTTTTATGCAATTTATATACTAGCTAGTGTGCTTTAAGAATCTTTAATGACCATGCGCTACATCTTTGCGTATAGATTTCTGTTCATGTAATATTTACCAGAAACTAATTTGAAAGTTAAATCCTGGTAAAATTCAAGCATTTTCCCGACAATTACTCTTGACAAGTATACACGACTGTAAACAGCAACACAATACCCAAACACTGTCAAGTTTTAAATGTTTCTTGTATCTATGTATTTTGAATCACCCGTGGTTATAGAATGCCAAATAATTCAATCAAAATGATGGCTTTGTCATAGTAACCGTTTTGACTCTTGTTTTTTTTCTGAACACTGAACACAAAATAAAGCAACTGTATTTAAAAGCAATGACAAATTTAAGGATTATAGAAATTGTATACATTAGTATACTAAATAACTTAAAATGTTCATATAAATATAAGCGGCAAAACTCGTTATCGTATTCAAAAGAAATATCTGCCAAAAGTTGGGTCGATTGCATGATTCCGATTATGTGTGTTTATGATTCACTATCAGATAGTGAGGGTACCAGGTGTTTGTGAAAAGGCTCCTCAGTTAACGGTGTGGCCTTATACGTGACATAATTTGATATGTCACTTATACCATGTTCTTTGATCAAACAATTAATGTAGTGATGCTTACAAATAATAGTGAGCGGTTGTGTAGCCTAGTGGTTAAAGCGTTCGCTCGTCACGCGGAAGATCCGGGTTCGATTCCCGAAAAGGGTACAATGTGTGAAACCCATTTCTGGTGTCCCCCCGCGGTGATATTGCTGGAATATTGCATAAACGCGGCGTAAAACCATACACACTCACTCATTACATATAATGGTTACATTATTTGAAGCCTTGTCAGTGGGAACAACTACAGAATTTCCATGTTGGTCAGCTGGCTGGATCATAATGGGTTTAGTCCATTTCTCTTTCCTCTTTTTCAGTTTCTACATTTAACCAATGAAAACATCCCGCACTGACTACAGCTTCTACTACACCAAATCAGAATCAGGGCTTTGACAAGCAGAGCCTTCAATACAGATTGAATCATCTGGCAGCTGTGATTGGACGATTTTGTGTAAGATTGTTCTGTTTTTTTACATGTACATCCATCCATGATTTAAAACTGTCCATGTTTTTTCTATAGTTAGTGATGCCTTTTTTAACACGATGACTTAATATTAGCTGAATATGACCACAGATATTGTCAAGCAAGTGATATTTAGTGCAGAACTCGGGTGGTGTGTTTTGCTTCCTGTACTCGGAAAAGGAGCTGGCAAAGCTTGTCAATGATTTTGTTTTTGATTTTATTGCAGCCTTAAGACCAGACTGTGCACACACGTACATGTAATATCTGTTGAAGTTACAGTAATTATTAAGAAAAAATATAATGTTAGCGAAGTTCTTCTCTTTTGGCCCATTTATAGGCAAATGCTTGGACACCATCCATAATGATTTTAAAGTTGTGATCCTAAATGATAGGAGGTATTTGATAAATTAATTAATTGGTATTATTCAAGCAAATGTATTCAGAAACCCTGTTTATTACTAGTAATTATAGAAGAGATTATACATATTTAATGTTTGAAAATGGGGCGGTCGGGTAGCCTAATGGTTAAAGTGTTCGCTCGTCACGCCAAAGACCCGGGTTCGAATCCCGACATGGGTACAATGTGTGAAGCCCATTTCTGGTGTCCCCCGCCGTGATATTGCTGGAATATTGCTAAAAGCGGCGTAAAACCATACTCACTCACTCACTAATGTTTGAAATGCATTTACATCTATTATAGTACTTGTAATAAAGAAACTAAAAACCGGGAGTATCGTTGATATAACTTAGATTACTCTTTTCCTAAATTTCAAAAGCACATCATATCACCATCAAACACAAACCAGCAACATATATCCAAACTATAGCAGTCCTTTTGGCAAGAACACATGATCAATCGTTCATCAGATTGAAATGTTTAACATCTAACGCCACAAATTCCCATTAATGCAAACATATTTTGTATTTATCTCCAGATCACTTGAATAAACGCTTCGTGTCAGAAAAAAGTTAACATTGACAATATAATCTTTCTAGAGATGTGTCCAACGAAAATCAGTTGCACTCGGTGGCATATGAATTAATCATTCGTGGGATTATGCAAATTGTGTGATGTGTGCTGACTGAGTTTTGTGTAACATGAGCTTGCATACATTGAATGATCCAGGCCCAAAAAGCCGAACAGGCTCTATCAGATATCCTTGAGGGAAGTGCGACAAACCCCGGGACAACTCACCACTTCCGGGGCGTATATTCAAAACGAATGAAGACGTGATGATGAATACGTGACATTTGTTCATGGATAACAACAGCAGCACTCTTTGTGTCGACGTCAACATGACGATTCAAGGTCCCTTAATAAATCATGGAAAGCATTCGTCCATGGCTTTTCGGCTAACGTCCATGGCTTATGGTAATAATAATTTCAAAGCACCATAAGGGACGCAGGTCAATACTTAAATGAAAACATGATAATTTAATATACAAAATTCATATATTAATATCATGTTGAGGGACAAATGGGTGTCCCAGGACGAACATAGCGTAACTTAGCACTTTCCTCACACCCACATTTTCTTTTGTTTTTGCATGAATTAATAAGAGGTCCTTTGGTAAGGAACTCGGGATATTTTTTCAAAAGGTGCTTTTCCAACATATACCACTAAATATTAATCAGTGGAGAACCTACAAAGTCGTTATACTGGAGGTGAGGTGAGGTGAAATGGGGTTTAACGTCGCGTCCAAGATTATTGCACTTATATAGCGACGTGCATGAACGTATGTGTGTGTGTGTGTGTGTGTGTGTGTGTGTGTGTGTGTGTGTGTGTCTGCTTGTACTAGTCCGGACTGATGCCGATTTATAAGCGCACTGAAATACCATGCCGCATTTTAACATGAATATCCCACTCAGTCACAGTATACTGACTCCGAGTCGACCAGTCCTTGTTTTAGCCTCTCAATGTCGAGCGCCAGATAGGGTAATAACAAGTACCATCTTGTAACGTCTTTTGGTATGACGCGGCTGGGGTTGAACACCTGACCTTCCGCTCTCCGGGTGGACGCTCTACCACTAGACCACGGAGGCGGTCCCGTTAAACTGGAAATCAATATAGACTGCCATGTTGTCTAACTGTGATTGGACTAGTGATCTTAATCACCTGGAGTGACCAAGTAGATAGGATCTCATTTGGGTTTGTGACTTTTACAATTTCCCAATGACTATTCTGAGTATTGGTGCCTGGGGATACGAAATATACCAGACTTTATTATCAGAGGAAATTGATACCATGTAGATATTAATCCTTTCTTTCTCTGTGGGAAATCACTGAACTAGTTCGTGCATTCACGACCAGACGTGTTTATCAGTGACAAGTTCTAGCTTGTGACATTTTAGTGAACTTAACATGTGATGATGAAACTATAACATTAATTATTTATATATACGATATTGGAAAATGTATTATGTTTTCACGTCAACGTGGTACTTAAAACCGAAACATTAATAAAGTTTTAATTCATATTTCATTTTTGAGTTCACTCTTTCCTTTTGAGATGAGAGTAGCTTGCAAACTCCACAAATAACAACATAACTAATTGACTACCTTGCTACTGTAAATTCAGTCTTTATTCTTTCAGTCTCATTTTGTGATGTGAGGTTGTTGCAATTGCACAAATAACAACACACGTGAGATACCTTGTTAACACAACAGTGTTATTTACCACGCATTACACACTGAAATGGTATTTTCCATCAGTGAACTTCTACACGAACAGCACGAAAGGCATAATTAGAAGAGAAGCTAAGGAAACACACATCATTTAATAGTAACATGTCATCAAATAGGTTTCTATTTTTAAGAGTCATTTAGGAGGAGAAACAGTAATGTGTTTATGAGTATCTATTATCTGGTAAATGTACACAGCCAGACAATAAACAATACCTATCTTCACATCAAAGTAAAAATATCTGTTTAAAACAGAAAATTAACCAAATCTATATCAAACTAGATGTACATTTCCACGAACAAAAAATACAATAATACCAGATGGTTAGTTAGCATGATATGTTAAATTTGGCATAGAAAGACGTATTTCTGTACACTATTTACAGAGACAGCACCTGAAAAACAAGCTAAATATTCAAGATTAGAAGGTGACATGTGGATCGTTTGGTGATAATTAACAATGCTTGAAGGATCAACCCTGTCTTGGCTGTTCCAGCAGTTGACAATAGGAATTTGTTATAAGCGACTGGAGCCGAAAGTTATATTCGCCTATGTATGTACGGCTTAGCGCATACAAACCAAGGGCCCGGTTAAGTCATGCATGTTTCCTGCACATCAACATGTATAATTATATAATCAAAGAAAATCTTAATGCGGTTTATCTGATAAAGGAACCCTGAAAAGCCGACCCCCCCTTTTTATTTCGAAAAAAAATCTTTATTTCTGTATAAATTACAACCAAAAATGTAAATAGTGCACCCCCACCCCCCTTTTCAAAAAAGCTGTATCCGGCTCTGATATTTATAATACTTATCCTATTTCAAACCCTATATGTCCACCCGTCCATCCCCGCATCACCATTCCTCTAAACTATTAAGCTCCAGAAAGAGAACGAGTTGGCACGTGTTCAGCGCGTGTGAGTCAACCGGCAAGAAAAGCATGCATGACCCAGATTTCTGGGGGGCGTCAATGGTGATGCAAGGTGTGTACGGGTGAATTGTTTTTTAAGAAGCTAGAAACCTTTGTTTAGGCACGTTTCCAATTAGGATCGAAAGAAGAAAGAGAAATGCATAGTGTGAGATGGGATAAGTAATATAAATATACAATTAATTGTACAATTTAAAATAATCGTTCTGATGTAGTGAGATTGTAAGTGCTAAGAATCACAGTGAGGCATGAACTCTGCCGGTCCTTTCCCCACTATCCAATATCATAACGCGGTCCTTTCCCCAGTATCCAATATCATAAAGCGGTCCTTTCCCCAGTAACCAATATCATAACGCGGTCCTTTCCCCAGTATCCAATATCATAACGCGGTCCTTTCCCAAGTATCCAATATCATAACGCGATCCTTTCCCCAGTATAAAATATCATAACGTGGTCCTTTCCCAGTATCCAATATCATAACGCGGTCATTTCCCCTGTATCCAATATATCATAACGCGGTCCTTTCCTCAGTATCCAATATCATAACGCGGTCCTTTCCCCAGTATCCAATATCATAACGCGGTCCTTTCCCAAGTATCGAATATCATAACGCGATCCTTTCCCCAGTATAAAATATCATAACGTGGTCCTTTCCCAGTATCCAATATCAAAACGCGGTCCTTTCCCCAGTATCCAATATCATAACGCGGTCCTTTCCCCAGTATCCAATATCATAACGTGGTCCTTTCCCCAGTATCCAATATCATAACGCGGTCCTTTCCCCAGTATCCAATATCATAACGCGGTCCTTTCCGAGTATCCAATATCATAATTCGGTCCTTTCCCCAGTATCCAATATATCATAACGCGGTCCTTTCCTCAGTATCCAATATCATAACGCAGGCCTTTCCCAGTATCCAATATCATAACGCGGTCCTTTCCCCAGTATCCAATATTATAATGCGGTCCTTTCCCCAGTATCCAATATCATAACGCAGTCCTTTCCTCAATATGCAGTATCATAACGCGGTCCTTTCCTCACTATCCAGTATCATTACGCGGTCCTTTCCCAGTATCCAATATCATAATGCGGTCCTTTTTTTCGGTATCCCATATCATAACGCGGTCCTTTCCCCAGTATCCAATATCATAACACGGTCCTTTCCCCAGTATCCAATATCATAACGCAGTCCTTTCCCCACTATCCAATATCATAACGCGGTCATTTCCCAGTATCCAATATCATAACGCGGTCCTTTCCCCAGTATCCAATATCATAACGCAGTTCTTTCCTCAGTATCCTATATCATAACGCAGTCCTTTCCCCAGTATCCAATATCATAACGCGGTCCTTTTTTCAGTATCCAATATCATAATGCGGTCCTTTCCTCAGTATCCAATATCATAACACCGTCCTTTCCCCAGTATCCAATATCATAACGCGGTCCTTTCCCAGTATCCAGTATCATTACGCGGTCCTTTCCCAGTATCCAATATCATAATGCGGTCCTTTTTTTCGGTATCCCATATCATAACACGGTCCTATCCCCAGTATCCAATATCATAACACGGTCCTTTCCCCAGTATCCAATATCATAACGCAGTCCTTTCCCCACTATCCAATATCATAACGCGGTCCTTTCCCAGAATCCAATATCATAACGCGGTCCTTTCCCCAGTATCCAATATCATAACGCGGTTCTTTCCTCAGTATCCTATATCATAACGCAGTCCTTTCCCCAGTATCCAATATCATAACGCGGTCCTTTTTTCAGTATCCAATATCATAATGCGGTCCTTTCCTCAGTATCCAATATCATAACACCGTCCTTTCCCCAGTATCCAATATCATAACGCGGTCCTTTCCCAGTATCCAATATCATAACGCTGTCCTTTCCCAAGTAACCAATATCATAACGCGGTCCTTTCCCAAGTATCCAATATCATAACGCGGTCCTTTTTTTCAGTATCCCATATCATAACGCGGTCCTTTCCCAAGTAACAAATATCATAACGCGGTCCTTTCCCAAGTATCCAATATCATAACGCGGTCCTTTCCCCAGTATCCAATATCATAACGCGGTTCTTTCCCAAGAATCCAGTATCATAACGCGGTCCTTTCCCCAGTATCCAACATCAGAACGTGGTACTTTCCCCAGTATCCAATATCATAACGCGGTCCTTTCCCCAGTATCCAATATCATAACGCGGTTCTTTCCCCAGTATCCAATATCATAATGCGGTCCTTTCCCCAGTATCCAATATCATAACGCGGTCCTTTCCCCAGTATCCAATATCATAACGCGGCCCTTTCCCCACTATCTAATATCATAATGCGGTCCTTTCCCCAGTATCCAATATCATAACGCGGTCCTTTCCCCAGTATCCAATATCATAACGCGGTCCTTTCCTCAATATCAAATATCATAACGCGGTCCTTTCCCAAGTATCCAATATCATAACGCGGTCCTTTCCCCAGTATCCAATATCATAACGCGGTCCTTTCCCCACTATCTAATATCATAATGCGGTCCTTTCCCCAGTATCCAATATCATAACGCGGTCCTTTCCCCAGTATCCAATATCATAACGCGGTCCTTTCCTCAATATCCAGTATCATAACGCGGTCCTTTCCCCAGTATCCAATATCATAACGGGGTCCTTTCCCCAGTATCCAATATCATAACGCGGTCCTTTCCCCAGTATCCAATATCATAACGGGAAGGGGAACAAGGATGGAAACTGAACTCTTTAGTCAGGTAACTCCTTTGCCTCGGGAAGTTTGAACACAGATGAGTTGTTTGTTTCAGGGACGCAAGGTCGAAAATAACGCACAGGGATTAACAAATTACTGTATCTATGGCAACATACTGATCCTACATATACTGGTATTGTGCTCAGTTTAGAAATGACGAATACCACCACAACCGCGACCAAGAACATCACATTGGGGGAAACGGTTCTCCAACCTCGCTCTTTCTTCAGCTCATCAGAATCAAAGGTCACGGTGAACTCTTGTCATGGTCCGTATGTCCGTGTCACCGTTGTGCGTTGTAGTCAGTGAAAACCTCTGTAATCATCGCCCCCTTGAAGCTAAGGCTTAACATGATATTCAAACTTATGATAAGAATTTAGAAAAGGTATGAACATTAGAAGTTTACTCTTTGAAAATAATCAATAAACATTTATAAAAATTATACAAGTTGTGGGGACCAACAAGACAACGAAAATGTTAACTCACAGTTAACCGATAATGACAAATACTGTTAAGTTTGTAGGGAACATCCTAACTAGCATTCTATTTGTGGTAGATGCCATTTTCAAAATAATGTTTATTATTTTTTTCGCACTCCTGAAATGAATATGTTCAAACTTTACACGCGGTTTTGGAAACAGAAGGATGTTGAGTTTGGAGAATAAAAGGAAACAGAAAGTTGTAGGTTATTCACACAATTGAAAAATATCTTTGTTCATTTTCTTCTAGAATCGTCTGCCGTGAAAGAATGTGAACGATAAGACGATGTTGAGCAAAGAAAGGCAACCATTGTGGATTTCAACATCGTTATATGATACTATTGCTGTTGTAGATTGTATATGTTTGTTGCAGCTGCGTTGATTGGCTGATATTTCAAGCAGTGTAATGTATAACAACTAGGTGAGCTACAGTCCCTATGCGCCTATGAAGATACATGTCACAAGTATGTCGCACCTGTCCAAGTATGGAAAGGCGTCCACTTACATTTATTAATTCCAAGGACGGTGAATGTATGCCTGAAAGTTTAGTCCAGTAACATGACTCTAAATCCATTTCAATCATTGCATTGTTTACGTAGTCACGAATGGTCATGATTAAGCCAATGGATTTCAAAGGGAAGATATTTTCGGCGAGAGCGTAACGCAAAGCTTGCAGAGTCTCGTGTCACGCCTTGTGACTTCGAGAGCGATTCAATTATTGTTTCATCAAAGTGAAATATTGTTGTTTTTATACTACGTGAGAAAACAATCATTGATCACAATTCGGGCAAGATAATGTTTCATGAACACAAAATACTGATATGGTCGCTGGCCTAGGTCAATATCCGTTTCTTGGGTCCATAAAACACGTAGTTGGACCTATTAAGAATATTGCAATTCCATTTGTTAATCCGTACCACGTGACAAAACAGTACCTTTCGATATAGACCCCCTAATCATGTGCCTGACACTGACCTCGAATATTGACTCGTCACATGATCAGTATTGACCTGTCATGTGATGAATGTTGACTCTCGTCTGCTAGAAAACAAAATGGCGTCCCGTAACATTTCACGATTCGACGTTATGTCAGAAGAAGATATTGTTGACATGCTGGATAACAGAAACCTGCTTCGTCATGTTAGGTGCTCATGATGGTTGGGAATCCTCTTGGGGAGATTTCCATTGAATGGGAGTTTGGCGTCTGGCCTTACTCGCGAACTGGTATCCGATCCATCTTAGAAATGTGAATAAACTGTAAATAACCACTGTTTCTTGTCTGTAATTGCCTTTATAGCCAAAATCGTACAAATTATTGCTATGTTTACTCACTCATTGATATATATTTTAAATGTTTTCATTCAGTCATTTCACCATGTCATGAGTATGGTTTTACGCCGCTTTTAGCAATATTCCAGCAATATCACGGCGCTTTATCCACTTTGCTACACGAACGCCCCCAGTACAATGGATGTGATTTAAGTTCACCAAATAGTGTTGTCGTTGTAGTTTGTGAGATATTCACCAAGTTCTTGTCTCATGTGAGATGCCCCTTAATCGCCTAAGTCTTACCCATCATCACGCTCCGGTGAATGTATACCCATAGTAATAGGTGCTTATATAGAATACTAAACAAGGTACCGTGTAATACCAATTTTATGAAACGAGTGAATAGCTAACGACTATGCACGTGTTTCATAAAGTTGGTGTTACAAGAGGGCGAGTTGATTATTGTATTTACTACTTGCCGTTCATACATTTTAAAGTCTCATTTGTTCGATCTATGAAAACCCGTCATAAACTAGGTCAAGTGTGTGACTACAATAGTTCACTGTCGTGGGCAAGCTGGCAGACATTGTCGCGATCCACAGCACATATCCAATTGAGTTTAACAGAATAATACAACTTCAAACACATAAGAGTGAGTGAGTGAGTGAGTGAGTGAGTGAGTGAGTGAGTACGCCGCTTTTAGCAATATTCCAGCAATATCACGGCGGTGGACACCAGAAATGGGTTTCACACTTCGTACCCTTGTCGGGAATCGAACCCGGGTCTTCGGCGCTTTAACCACTAGGCTATCCGACCGCCCTAAACACATTAGAAGTTGACGAGTATTAACTCAACAACCTACATTTAGAATTCAGGCGGCTTGTTCACGAAGCTGCCTTCGCTGAGACAAATTGCTACAATTACGAGTGCCATATGAGCTATTCTTTAAGATGTCTTAAACCTTACTATCGTACTATTTGTCGAGAAGTAACTGTTTAAAAGATGTTCACGTACACACAGTGATGAATCTATTTCAAGATAAGTCGACAGATTTATTACGATTTCTTTTTGTATAGTGCCTTATGCCTTCAGAGTCGATTGGGTAATATACATCACACATGACTAAAAATGAGAAAACAACTTTGAAAGACAATATCCCGACATGATTAGGCCAAAGTACACTGTTGTTATTACTATTTATCTCTAGAAACATGCTGAATTCCTCTCAATCTCATTAAAATCAGATCTAAGTACTCGCTGCCGCAAAACAAAGATCTGAGGACATCCCATTATGGGTCACGTCAGAACGACCTTTCGCGAACTTTGACCGACCACTGACATGACTAATAACAAATCGACATCATGAATACACAATGCCATTTAGAAAGTGGTCAAATGTAACTAATATTTGGGATAACACTTTCTTAGTAAAGTACAGATTCTAGTACTTTTTTTTGGAAAACTGAACAAACGAACATTCCGGAATGTCTAATATATGGTTGATATTGTATGGCAGTGCTTCCCACATACTGGGCAACGCCTCCTCCGTTTAAACGTTTATCCCACGGAAGCGTGAGATAGACGATAATTTTGACGGAATCTTCGAGGTTGCATGATTAGAAAACACATTCCGGATGTCACTTTCATGATCTGGTAAGCGACGCTTTGATTGGTCGGATGAAAGGTCGTTCAGACGTGACCCGTAATGGGATGTCCTCAGATCTTTGTTTAGCGATAGCGAGATCTAAGATGTGATTTTGATGAGATTTGATTCCTCTATGTCAATTAGCACGGAAACAGCTTTCCCATAGCTAATTCGTCTTCCACTCAGAGGACCTCGCAACAAAGGGCGGACTAAAGTGTTTCCCCTGTTTCCTCGCGTGTCATGGACAATGTGGTTAGGTTCGCCTTGGTTTCTGCATGTCCTGAATGCTTTAACAATAAAGAGAGTGCTTTTACTGCTAAGTGGTAATGAGTCCCAATTCCGCGATTCAGCTTGGTGAGCAATTTCACAATCAGTGCTGGATATTTGGTTATAATGAGGTACTGGTTCGAACGGTGAAACCACTATTACGTGTCTGATGGTTGGGTTTGCACTTCATCAGGTGCACGTGTTTATAAATTTACACCTATTATCATGTTGTACAATGTGTTTACATATAAAAAAATATCAACGCCAGAGAATATGCCCCGGTTGTCTACTGAAACAGATTCCATCGGGCGTGAAAGGCAAAAGCGATGAAAAGTAGATGAATATATCACTCAAAACCAGTGACAGGACCAGGTGTTCGCGAAAGTGATTGAGTGAGTTTGGTTTTACGCCGCTTTGAGCAATATTCCGGCAATATCACGGCGGGGGGACACCAGAAATGGGCTTCACACATTGTACCCATGTCGAGAATTGAACCCGGGTCTTCGGCGTGACGAGCGAACGCTTTTACCACTAGGCTACCCGACCGCACCTCGCGAAAGAGAGACAGGGGATATTTAATGTGTCAAGTGAAATATCATATTTCTCTCATCGAGTGAAGGGGGGAGAGATGATATTTTCACGAGGCACATGGAATATCATATTTATTATATACTGTTTGTGTGCCTGTCTACCGGAAAAGAAAATTATTTCATTACAAATGTAAAACCTTGAAACGTAAATTCTCCCCACCTAACACACAGGGACAATTCACCACCCCTTGCATTTGCGACTAAAAAGTAGTTTCGTATTTGCAAAATCTTAACATAAACCAAAGTAACAAAAATTATTTAGGGTCACTAAAATTCTGTATTATACATACAATGTTTAGATATGAATATATAATAAATCAACTTAAAAAAAGCATACTTGGAAACTACAAAGCCGCAGTTGGAAGCGAAAGTGTACATGCTTGTCAAGTAACAAAAATGGGGCTTTGCGAGACGAACAGTCTCGATTGACGAGTTAAGTGAGAAATTAACAGTTTATAACGAACATTTTCAAGAGCATAACAAACGGCATGAAGCGATATTAACAAGATGAAGTTCATTTTCAATCTTACTCTGGTCTTAGATTTTGTGAAAGATGTAGCTTCCCTAGATCTAATTTTATATACGTAGTAGTTGAAAAGCTTGTACATAAATTTAATGTCAAGTTCTACTTTTCTTAACCCCCTCGCCGCTCTTCGATCTGAAATGCATAATTGGCATCTCAACGACTACAGGAGGTATTTACAGGTTGTTACAATTAGCAATCCCCGTCATTTGAATCGGCCAGATGTTGTATTTTTAGTAATGTATTGGGTATTGTTCGTCATACATGATGTGACACACTAATGCAATATTTTCGCCTTCGTTAACGGTACAAAAAAAACTAGAGATGTAATGATGATTTCCCCCGATATTGTGCAGTCTTGATCAATTAGAATTGAACTAAAGGGTTTGGCAATGACACTATGGTCATGTAATTTCGTCTACCGTAAACAAACCATTTAATCGACTCAGAATTGATTAAGTATGTAACTAACTCTTCTGACAAACACTAAATGTATTTTGATATTAAAAAGTACAGAACATTGAAAACATCACAAGACTTCAAGAAGTCGGCGTGAGAGTTCTTGAGACAGATGTTGAGTTGGGGGCGTCCCGTATTTCCACAGCCCTGTAATACGGGATCTGGCGGGGGAGACTTACCGCCAGTCTATGTAACCCAACTCTCCCCTGGGTTCACGATTACTGGCACTTCTTTGTGGCTCCCGGCACACGGCACATAGGAGCCTTCCCCTACTCCATAAATGGTTATCTGTCAGTAGTTAAGGATAGCGCTTTGGCCCGTAAGTCAGCAGGAGTTATCTTCCCCTACTGGACGTGGTTCTGCGCATGCTCGAAGAGGGACATGCTGGGTCATGCGTCACTTCCGGTTCCGGGAGGGGGAGAATGAATAACAAACACAAGGGTCGGGTCGGTTTGGAAAACCAGGGCTCAGACCAGGCACCGGAACGGACCAATCAGCGTGCAACGTTTTGGACCAATCAAAAGAGGGAACATTTCGAGCCACTCCCTGCATTCATACACCACGTCCATGTCTGTCCATGTCGGTTCACCTTTAGAATTCAGGCGTCCGTTCCACAACATGATCGTAGCGCTAAGGTGATTGCAACTCACATACTTTATCTTAGACGGACGACTGTCATTGCGCTACATCTTGGATCGAAAACGAGGCTTGGAGAGCATAGCTCCATGCAGCGCGAGTCGCATCAGCTCATAGGGAACAGACAGCATGTTGTGCATTTCTCTGATGGACATTTCAAACAAACAAAAAATGGTATCCTCTGTATCTAATACAGAAAATATTTCACATTTAATCATGAGGTCCAACTAAAATATGCCCGTAATACACTTGAATTAGCATTTTGCTGTCAGGATCCCGGATGTGAATCGAAAGGTGCATTTCGAGATACGTATTTCAGAAATAAATTGTTTTATCATAACCTCGTCGGCATATAGGTACAATGTGACAGTACATTCAATGACAGAGGTTTTGTATTGTAAATGAACCGCATAACATGAAATACGTCAGTGTACTTTTGCAAATTTGCTCAGTCAGTGTGTGGCTTGGCGAACTCGAGATCGTCGAACATGTTTATTTCACGTTTCATAGCGGTGTTTTGCTGCACAACGCACTATCGTTTTGCTATGAGTCCAGGTGACAAAAGACACTTTTTCTGCTATGAGTTTCATCTTAACATATTACGATGTAAATGAAATTAGTTCACAAAATAATTCTTGTGTCAAAATAAATATTCAGAAGGGGCGATAACTCTATTCAGTGTGTACAATGACAGATGATACTTTACTTGTTCTTCAAACATCACTTACTTAACTGATTATTGCCGATTGAGATTGCACCGGGTACAACAAAAGTTATAATGTGTGAACTGTTTAAAATAAGTTAAAAGAAATCTAAAAATTGATAAATATAAATAATGCATGAAATTAAAGAAATAT